AAACCCGAATCAGAGCTCCGCAACAAGTTTCTGCAAGAACACACCATATCCAGACACCTGTTTCCACTCCTTAAAACTCTCCATCTCCATCAACATAAGCCCCAACATTCTCTCTTTCCTCCTCCAAACCCTCGAAACAGCTCTTTCCGAAGCCGGAAAACTCACCGATCTCCTTTCCAGTGCCGAAAACCTCGTCGAGGGCCAACGTGGCTCTCTCCAAGACTGCAAAGATCTTCACCACATCACTTCTTCCTCCTTGAAACGATCACTCTCCAAGATCCAAGACGGTAGTTATGATTCACGGAAGCTAGCCGACGCTAGAGCTTACCTGAGCGCCGCTCTCACCAACAAGAACACTTGCTTGGAAGGTCTTGAATCGGCTTCTGGTCCGCTAAAGCCAAAGCTCGTGACCTCCTTCGACACCACTTACAAACACGTAAGCAACTCACTCTCTGCTCTGTCGAAACAGAGGAAAGCAAGCAACATGAAAACCGGTGGCAAGAACCGCCGGTTACTTGGGCTGTTTCCCGACTGGGTCACTCAGAAAGATCGCCGGTTTTTAGAAGATTCTGGTGACGGGTACGATAACAATGGTGAGTACGACCCGAGTGAGATCCTAGTAGTTGCTGCTGATGGAACAGGGAATTTTACGACCATTAACGAGGCCATAAGCTTTGCTCCAGATATGAGTAACGAGAGGGTGCTGATATATATAAGGGAAGGCGTGTATGACGAGAACGTAGAGATTCCGATCAACAAGACTAATATTGTTCTGATCGGAGATGGGTCCGATGTTACGTTTGTTACCGGCAACCGAAGCGTCGGGGATGGATGGACCACTTTCCGATCTGCTACTCTTGGTATTTATTCACCTTTGACTTCTTTTATACATAGAACAAGACTCAAGTGGTATATATTGTTTGGGGCATAGAGATAGATTTAGGACCGTAGAATTTGTTTTCTTTTCTTTTTGCATTGTTAACTAGGACCGTGGGATTTGTTTTCACTAGCTTTTAAGTTTTTACTATATGAAAGGAAAAGGTAGCAGTTAAAATCTTTATGTTATTGTGGTTTTAGAGGGAAAACAAAAAAGCGAATAGGAAAAATAAAAAGTTCTTGAGTTTTTTTCCCCCTTTCTAATCATAATGCTAAAGATGCGTTTAGGTGAGAGATAAAAAAAATTTGATTAGATTTTGGAAACTTAGTTATCGCAATCAAATCAAGATTGTAATGGTTCTCAAACTTGCTTGGTCATAGCGGTTTCGGGGGAAGGATTCTTGGCAAGGGATATAACGATAACGAACACGGCTGGACCGGAGAAGCACCAAGCGGTTGCATTACGTGTGAATGCAGATTTCGTGGCCTTATACCGATGTGTCATTGACGGTTACCAGGATACACTTTACACCCACTCGTTTCGACAGTTCTACCGCGAATGCGATATCTACGGAACTATTGATTATATCTTTGGGAATGCAGCCGCAATGTTCCAAGGCTGTAACATTGTTTCAAAGTTACCTATGCCGGGACAATTCACTGTAGTTACGGCTCAGTCACGGGATAGCCCGGACGAAGTCACGGGGATCTCGATGCAGAATTGCTCCATCCTAGCTACGGAAGAATTACATAACAGCTCAAATGAAGTCAAGAGCTATTTGGGACGTCCATGGAGAGAATATTCGAGAACGGTCGTAATGGAATCTTTTATTGATGAGTTTATTGACGGTTCGGGTTGGACCAAATGGACCGGTGGTGAAGGACTTGATACTCTTTATTATGGCGAGTATAATAATAACGGGCCAGGTTCTGAGACAATAAAGCGGGTCAACTGGTCGGGTTATCACATTATGGGTTATGAAGATGCGTTTAAGTTCACTGCAACGGAGTTTATCACCGGCGATGGTTGGTTAGGCAGTACTTCGTTCCCTTATGATAATGGAATTTAAAACCTTTTTGGCTACAAGTTATATTGAAAAGTTTTAAATAATTCCATGGTTTACGTTATTTAGGCTGGCAAAAGATATTTTTGGGTGCAACTGGATTGTCATTTTATGGGATAAAATCAAGTGGAATACTTCATTCTTGTGCATACCACGAAAAAGCTACCATTTACATGGAATAAAATATAAAATTCATTCTATTGCATCCCATGACTTATGTGGGATTGTAGAGGAAAAGAGTCAAAAAACATTCAGGAAAAAAAACATCATGAATAGATGGGATACATATATAATTTAAAAAAAAAAACTAGAAAGATATTGTTACGATTTTATCCGAATCGGAAATGATCAAACCACAGATTTCTCATTTTCTACTAACATTTGTTATGCTTTTAAAATATAAAGATCTCCTTTAGATTTTTTCATCA